TTTTTCAGGACTTTTCAAGATCTGTGTGAACCATTATTTTGTGTTTAATAGAACAGCCACTGGGTTATGCTCGAAAAACAAAGTTTAAAATTTTTAGACTGGTTGCTTTCAGTTTTCATCAGCTTTGATTTAGTAGCTAATTGCAACCTTGACCAAAAGGTTCGCAGATTTAAGGTGGCTCTGAACCCCATGTGCAGAATTTTTTACAACTTTACCAAAAGTTGCATCTTATCCGGCTTATCAAAATTTGATAATAAAAAAGGGATTTCACCATGCCATTTTTGAAATATATTAAGTACTTAAAGCTAAAATTTAGGGTGTTTTTAGCAGGTCATACTGAACTGCCACCAGTGACAGATAATGTCACAAAAATGGCAATGTGTTTAACAATGACTGGGCATTTTTTGATACCATGATTGTAGCATCAACTGATAAAGAGTAATAATTATAATGGTCCATGAAAATCTACATCTTGGAAAGTGTTGGAAACTGTTTTGAGCCACCCTAATCAGTGGCAGACCCAGACCTTAAGCTAGGGGGGAGGTGTGCATGCCCTGCCAGCTTTTCTTCCTTCTTCTTTCTTTTTTATACTCAAAATAAAGGGGACCCTGGTGCAGTTGTTGGCTAGCTTTGAAATCATGAAAAAGGACAGGTTGGTAGAACTTGCTTATGCACTCATCAAAATCAATGCCAGTCAAAATGAAATTGTTGTAAAGAGGAGCAAACTTTCAAAGAATGACTTTGTTACATGTACAACATTTTTTTAATTTGTGAATAAAATAGCTTCATTGTATACATCTATTTAATTGTTCTTGTTTTGTTTTGTTAGTTTTTTTTTTAATTTTCAAATGTAAAAATAATCTGTCATTTGGCGAACATTTATGTGTACAAGTTGTACACGTAAACTAACATTTCTCCTTTAAAAAAAAGTAATCATAATATCAAATTTGTGATTACTGTTTGTGAAAAGATTTTTGTTACTCAATTTTTTTCATGCTTAATTTTCTCCACTAAACTTATTCTCATCAAAGAAACCAGTTTTTTTTATGTGCAGTTACTACAAACTGATGGAGATTTCACCCAACTACAGTGTGTACCATCAGTTTGCCAGGTGTGCCACCTGCCTTCAGAGTGATGTTTTGTGTCTATTTTGCCATAGAATTCATTAACATCAGATTTGTACATGTAAACCTAACCTTCCACACTTCAAGAAATACAGCTGTATATTGTCAGGGAGCAAGGATGGTACAGTAGTGAGAGCACTCACCTCCCACCAGTGTGGCCCAGGTTCAGGTTACAACAAATCATGAAACAGGGGAGGTTGGTAAAACTTGCTTATACACCCGTCAACATTAATGCAAGTCCAGATGAAATGCAATAAATTGGAACGAACTACCAAATAATGACTTTTTTTCCAACATTTTTTAATTCACGAATCAAAATAGCTTTATTGTATACATCTATTTACATTATTTATGTTGTTTTTTTTTAATTTCCAAATGTAAAAATAATCTATCATTTGCCTCATGTTATGTACGTGTACATGTACAAGTTGAACGGTAATGCATGAACTAATTCTCCTACAAAAAATAATCATCATTAGAATATCAAATTATTGTTACTGTTTGTGTATTTTGAATTCAGAAGGTAGCCAACAATAGTTTTGTAACTCAATTTTCTTCATGCTTTTAATGTTTTACATCTGACTCAAGCAATGGAGCCACCACATTTACTTTGGTTTATTGAATGGCTTGTCATAAAAGTCCCAAAAGTCATCATCATTGTCATCATTGGGAATGTCTATTGGGGGTTGTGAAGGTGGATTCTCTTCAATTTTCTCTTCAGTAGCTGGAGCCTGTTTCTTCTGTCCTTTTGGTTTAGGATGGGCTTTCTTTACTTTTGCTTGCGGTGGAGATTTCCCAACCTTGGGAGTTATTTCTTTTTGTTCTTGGGGTTTCCAGTTTGCTGTGAAGTAAATAAAAACCATCTTGAGTTTTTTAGAGTAACATTCATGTACATGACTTGTACTGTGTAAACAAATCTTTTTCATGTAAATATATTACAAATAAATAATTCTTTGTAGTGGCTGCCTTTCCTATCAACATTGTAAACAACAAGGCTGGCACATATATTACAGAAACACAACAGTGCAACCCTGCCTTATCGCCACCAGGTTAATATGGTTACCTTGTTATTACAGCTACTCTATTCTGGCCTGAACAAAAGCTCAGAACCCCTTTAATATGGCCACCCCATTAATATGGCCAGATTTCTGTGGTCTGTTGGTGACCAGAATAATGGGGTTCCAAGCTGTATTTAACAAATAGATTCCATGTTGCCATGGAATCTAATAGTTGTATCATCCAATCTAATCAAACAGTTGTATTATCCAACTATTTTTCACTGAACGTGTGTGCTCTTGCACATCTTTTTCTTATTTTCTCTTCTTATTTGACCCAAATAAATATTCACTTTGAATCACTAAGGATGGCTACCCAGTCTCATTAGCCCATTAAGGTTATTTCGGGCAGCCATGTACCCTTTTTATTTTAACTTATTTTTGATCATCTAATTTCTAATTTCTAGCTGAATACAAATAAAGTTATTGTTGTTGTTTATCTGTTCAGTAGTAGATCACAGCTGATGTTGACGTTGCACACAAGCCATTAGGCAAGTGTGTCACTGAATGATGTTCTTCACGGCAACATGCATGTAATCTACTTGTTTTCAGTAATAAAGAAAGTGAAAATTGTTGACGGTGTCATCTATACATCTGTCCTCCACTAAATCAAAAGTAAGAATCAATCAAAATATGAGAAACATAATATTATTTATTATATTTCTCAGTTACTACGTGCACTGTGATTGGTCAGTTTAGCGGGCCATATTCTACTGTGCGGCCCTCTAAATGTTAAAGCTGTTTTCATTACCAAAATGTGTCCTGATTTATCTTTTATAGAAAGTAAAAGTTTAAAACTTTCTTTTACTTTAAACTGTGTATTAAAACATGCTAACAACTTAAAGACCATTTTTTGCTTTTGATGTACGTCAGAAATTTGAAGCCACTCCACATGAATAGAGGTTGTTCTCAAACCAGTCAGACACAGCAGAGATATAATAAATATCTTTCTAACCTCGTCCCCTCGGTGTGTACTGTGAGTTATGGATCCTAGTTATTTTCCCCCTTCAATTTATGGCCCACACAAGTCACACTTGGGCTATAAATTGGAGGGTTAAAAAAACTTGGTCCCTAACTTACAGTGTGGACTTCAAACTCAGTTGGTGAGAGTATATATACCTCAAGAGAGGTACATGTATATATACCTCTAACACCCTTCTCCACGGTTGTCAATAGTAGCCATCACCATCTACTTCACGACTTAGCCTGCTAATACATGAGTGTCCCCACCACCCCCCCCTCCCCAACCCCCGCTAGGAAACGGCAAGTTTTGTTTTCCTGAGACCGTCAATGCTACCTGGGGCATAACCGAGGCAAAGTTTGACGATCAAGGGAAACAAAACGCGCTGTTTCCCTTGGCGCCAGTCATTAAAGATAAGGTTGTTAATGATAAGTATATACCTGCCTGTTTTGGTAGCGTATCAAGGTATGTGTCCCAAGTCTTCTTCATCCTTTCATGATGCACGTTGGCTGCAGACCACTGTCCAAACTCGTCAGTCTGCATACCAAAAAATTTGTCTCTTTGATGCGGTGGAATAATTTCCTGTTCTGTGAAAACTTTAGCTGTTGTACTGTTCCAGTGATTATTTCCAAGACCTGGGAAAACGTTTGACCTCAAAGCCAGGGAAAGATTATTATAATTTGTTTGTTCGTGTCCATGACTCCTGTTATTAAAATTAGTTGATGTTATACTTCCATCTTTACTCTCTAGGCTATGTTGTCTCTTTCCTGTAGATGCTAGCTTATTTCTCAAGCGCGACTGTAAATTACTGGAATAAAGTTGTGGTTTAACTTCTCTCCACCTTCCATGCCCGTCCTGAACAATACGTCTTCTGGAGTACGAGTTTATGTTTGCCTTCGGTAAACTGTTTTCCGGTGTCAACAAATCTTTGCTCGCCAATTTAGGTGGGAATTGGGGTCTGATGTATTCCTCGATGTCAGTTAAAGTTTCCGAAGAGACTATTTCTGCCAACGCAGCTTTCTGTCTCCCAGTAAGTCCTTTCACCGCCATGATTTGGTTGTTGCTGTCGCATGGCAACAAAAAAATGATAAATGATTGACAATCGCTACGATTGACTTGCAAAAGTCCTGGATACTACAGACGTAAAAGACGTGATAGTTGACGAGGTTCGTGTGTAACTTGTATAGCAGCAGAAACTAAAAAACATAGAAAGGTGAGAAGTCAACGAGGTGTAGAAAAAAGGTCCGATCTTTGTTGTCAATGTAAACTGTAGAGCTAACAACTAAACATTACAGCTTTCGTGAAAGGAACATACAGTGTTTGGTCAAGAAAT